GAGAGAGAGAGAGAGGTGGGGTGTAGAAGATGGAACAAGGATATATTCAGCCTCTTTACAACAGGAGTTACCGGATAAGCATAATAATACAATTATCTAGTCCGCTGCAATGATTATTAATACGGTATTTACGGTCTCTGGTCCGCTGAAAGCCGCTACTGTGGACAACTTTGGGGATAACATTACCAGCAGAATGACTATTTACGAACATAAACATAGCAATGGTGAACTACAGATCACAACCTCAACATAATATGTTAGAATTTGTCTTATTGTTGCTCTCAAACTGCGTCAATATCATGGATTGCTTTTGGTCTTAAGTGTGAAGAGGTTTATGTCATAGTCATTTGGATACCTAAATGAAAACTATGGCTTGGATTTAGGGATTATAGCAAAAACAGCAGCCAAAGATTAGACTGTCAAGCATTAAATAAGATTCAAGTTGCACTGCATCCTGAACTACTATACGTGCACGCACTTTGCGCACATTTCTAATTGCAAATTTCGTTAGTCTATAATATATTAAAAACCTGTGATTGAAAAACAACGGGGTTTAAGAACTGTCTCCTTCATACCGAGTCGCGATTAAACCTAATTAGTCTAGTTTAGTAGGAGTTTTACGGTGCTCGCAACTGCATTAGGTCATACCAGTGCGCTTAAACCAATTCATGTTGTAAGTGGATCCCACGGTATAGTCCATTCTTTTCTTATCAAGTTTGGCGTGCTTTGAGTTCTAAATATGATTTTTTAGGCAAATAAATAAATTGGTTTATGCAGATCTATATATACTGCATCTCCCATTCGCTTGTCTTGGTGTGTTTGTTAGGGGTGATAACTTTGCAAAGCGTTAGCGGCGCATCGGGGTCACGCTTTTGACCGCACTCAGGAAACACAGTCGCGCTGCGGGTACCGAAACGGCTGAAATCAGGGAACATAGCCGTAGTGTTATGCTTGGGAGTAGACGAACAATTGGCGTTTCCTAGCCTGTAAATGCAGCGTTTCTTCCTTTGCATTTCAGGAGACCTCGCATGACCAGGCTGTGACTGTTATAACCAGTTATAACAAGGATAAATATAACCTTAGGCGAGCAATTAAAGGAAGTTCACTCTCATCCACGGTTGGCACCTTTACTATAATACTGTGTATCTTTTAAAAAAACAACAACCCCGCCCACCCCCAAAAAACCCCAACCTTCAGAAGGGTTATAACTTGGTACTAATTCCAGCAACACATCATCACCCGAGGAGACCCAGGTGGCCTTAACAATTCTTTTGTGTGGGAAGATTGTTCCTCCAATAACCAAGTTGTTGATTGCACAGAAGTGTTTGAATCTTTCTCCGTTGTCATTTGCCTCTCCTAATCCATGTCTGCCCACGATTTCCTCACAGTGACGATTGTCCGGACCTACCTTTGCATTTAGGCCTTCCATGACAATGTTGATGTCCTTACCTGAAAGTTTGTCGATCACACTCTGCAGGCGGTTGTATAAGTCATCTTTATTTTCCACTTCTGCATCATTGGTTGGGGCATACACTTGTATGATGTTCAAGTTTATGACTTTCTTCCTACCATCTCTTTCCTTGAGTTCTTTTTTTGGTTCCAAATGAGGCCATGGTGATTCTTGGACCGTGCGCTTCCCAGCCCCTGAATGTCTTTTGCGCTGTTTTGGATATGATCATCCCTACTCCTTCCCTGTGTGGTCCATCACTGTAGTTTCTTGAATAAATGAAAAGCTCCCCCTCTTTCATTCGCTTTTGTCCAGACTGGTTCAAGTGGGTCTCGCTAATTTCCAGTATGTGATATCGGTGCATTTTTTTTCCTGCCTCTTAAAGGGTCCTAACATTCCACGATCCAATCCGGAGAGATTTGGACTTGGCCCAGCAGCTTCCTCAACACATTCAATAAATAAGGTTCAACATGGGGGGGGGGGGGGGGGGGTCAAATTTGGGTTAATCCCACCTGTTTTGTCCACACCTCCAATTTTTTCATAATAAACATGAAGGTTAATTTCTTTTAAGTGCTTAATGTATCATTTAACCCCCCCTCCCCCAAGAAAGTTTTTAGCTTTTTATTTTGGTAAGGTTTTTACGGCGCTGGCAGCTGCGTAAGGTCATATGAGCGCCAAGGGGCGGATGTCAACAGAGAAGTCCAAACGGGGAATCAGGCTTTCTTTACTTCAACAGCACAAAGTCTGCTTTCGACTATCAAGGCACCTCGGAAATATGTAGTTTACAAGAGAGTGACAAACATACAAAAGAAGTAGAGGAAAATTTTAGAAGAAAAATGACGATAGTAAGGATGAGGAAAGAAAAAGCAATAGTTCCTCCTATGTTGTTGTTCCGGCACAGTATGAGCATGACATTGATAAATCAGTCCATTTGCAATTCTACTGTGGATATGAACATATGAACAGATTAATATCCCCCCCCCTTTGGGAATGGCCTAAAGACACTCCAGTCAGTGGTATTGCCCGGGAGGGGGGGGGGGGGGGTCCAGAGAGTTTGCAAATCCCAGTAAATGCTGTTGGGGTTGTTTGCAAGAGTACACGGGATTCACATTTTGGCTCATGTGTTTCTGACCCTTGGGAAATAGAAAAGTATTTAATAGGTTTTATTCTATTTTAAAGCTGCTATCTTCACATACTAAATAACTTGCTTATTTAATGAACTAAGAAACACATATAAGTGGGTGGTTGGCGGGTGCTCTGGTGTGGTTTGCTCCTTCTTTCCTATCAAACACCTATCGTCCTTATCTCCCCCTCCTTCATTTTTTATGTTTGTTACTCTCTTGTAACACCTCTAATCTTCTGGCGCTCATATGACCTTATGCAGTTGGGAGCGCCGTAAAATCTCTACTAAAACTAAACAAATACAAGATAGGCACTTCACTACTAAAAGAACCATTATACAGAACATGTCAAAAGTGGGGATGTGAAAATTTGTCCCATTTTTTTTAAATGTGGGGATGTGAAAATGTGTCCCAGTTTTTTAAAATGTTGGAATGGTAACAATTCTTACTTCCTTCAAATAATATAGTTCACGCCTCTCTTTGAACAAGCTTGAAAATGAATGTTCTCAAAACCACGGGTGGCGACACCTGATAAATAGTGTTGACTT